TACACTTACCATGTGATGAGCACTGAATAAGGTATAGAATTATTGAATCATTATATTGTATACCGGAAACCAATATAACACTATATGTTGAATATACTGGAATTAAAAAAATGGTACTTTTTTCACTTGATCTAGAAAAGGAGACTTAGTATGAATGTCAATGTTTATTTATCACTGGACAAAGGAAGGAGAGAATTGGGTCTGCCAGAAATGAGCAATTTGATCAATAAAAATCTATGAGGTAGAGCAGGTTTCATTGCAGTCTAGATGAACTCTGAGTCAACATTCCTGACTCTTTTCCAAGTAATCTCTAGTCTGGCAGTATTTCTGATCCAAAGTAGAGAATAATTTACATACAGAACAAGAGTAGTCAGTCACTGATATTTTTCTCATTTTAAATAAATTCACTGACAAATATATAAGTAAGTTTTGAAGAATAAGAACAAGTTTATAGGATCTGAACATTATTGGGATAAAATAAATTTGTTCAATTCATGCATTATCATCTAAGCAAAATTAATAGATACAATTCTACAAATAATCCATTTTATATATAAAATAAAATTACTTTTACTAGAAATTACCATTGTTAACATTTTAGGTCCAAGTAGAAGATCACTTAATTGACTTCTTAACTGAAGATCCATTGAAGAAGATTACTGGCACTTCCTACTCCTTCTATACAGTATAACGTTGCCTGCCACGATGTGCTAGACAATGGGGGCTAGCAGACTTCTGACAACTCCTTTGTCTCCAAATGACTTCTGTCCTATGAATCATCAGTTTTGTTTGTACCTAATTCTTAATTATGTAATTATGTTATGTGAATTATGAGCAGAAAGAATGTTAATTCTATGAAAACTAGGTTGAACACTTTGAGACAACTTAATAGTGCTACACATAAATTGACTAATTTGGTATTGAGCAAGATAGCTACAAAAGATTAATAAAAGAGGGGCGCCTGGATGTCTCAGTTGGTTAAGCATCTGACTTCGGCTTGGGTCATGACCTTGTGGTTCATGAGTTCGAGCCCCACATGAGGCTCTGTGCTATCAGCTCAGAGCCTGGAGCCTGCTTCAGATTCTGTGTCTCCCTCTCTGTCTGCCACTCCCCTGCTCACACTCTCTCTTGGTCTCTCAAAAATAAATAAACAAACATTAAAAAAATAAAAAATAAAAGTTTTAAAAGATGAATAAAATAAAAATCTCAAAAGAAAAAAATAATTACAAAACAATCAACATGATACAACACATCAACAAGAGCAGCAATAAAAACCATACATACAATCATTTCAACAGATTCAGAAAAAGCATCTGACAAAGTGCAACTCACATTCACAATGAAAACCCTCATCAAAGTAGGTTTAGAAGGAACATACCTCAACATAATAAAGGCCTCATGTGAAAAGGCCCACAGCTGACATTATCCTCAGTGGGGAAAAAACAGAGCTTTCCCCCTAAGATCAGGAACAAGACAAGGATGTACACTCTCACCACATTTATTTAACGTAGTACTGGAAGTCCTAGCCACAGCAATTAGACAACAAAAATAAATACAAGGCATCCAAACTGATAAGGAAGAAGTAAAACTTTCACTCTTTGTCAATGACGTAATACTATACGCCACCAAAAAACTACTAGAATAAATGAATCCAGTCAGATCACAAGATACAAAGATCCAATTGATATTGTACACTAATAATGAAAAAGCAGAAAGAGAAATTAAAAAACAATCCCATTTACACTTTCACCAAAAATAATAAAATACTGGGGAGCCGGGGTAGCTCAGTTGGTTGAGCATCCAACTTCGGCTCACGTCATGATCTTGCGGTCTGTGAGTTCCAGCCCCACGATGGGCTCTGTGCTGACAGCTCAGAGCCTGGAGCCTGCTTCAGATTCTGTGTCTCCCTCTCTCTCTGCCCCTCCCCCGCTCATGTTCTGTGTCTCTCTCTGTCAAAAATAAACATTTAAAAAAATTTTTTTAAATAATAAAATATCTAGGAATAAACTTAACCAAAGAGGTAAAAGACCTGTACTCTAAAAACCATAAAACATTGAGGAAAGAAATTGATGATGATACAAACAAATGGGAAGATATTCCATGATCATGGACTAGAAGAACAAATAATCATTAAAATGTCCATACTACCCAAAGCAATCTACACATGTAATGCAATCCCTATCAAAATACCAACAGCTTCTTTCACAGAACTAGACCAAGCAATCCTAAAATTTATATGGAATCACAAAAGACTCGGAATAGCGAAAGCAATCTTTAAAAAGAACAAAACTGGTGGTATCACAATCCCAGTTTCAAGACACACTGAAAGCTGTAGTGATCAAAATGGTATGGTACTGGCACAATAATAGACACATAGATCAATGGAAGAAAATAGAGCCCAGAAATAAACTCATGATTATATGGTTAATTATCTTCAACAAAGCAGGAAAGAATATTGAATGGGAAAAACAGTCTCTTCAACAAATGGTGTTGGGAAAACAGGATAGCTACATGCAAAAAATGAAACTGGACCATTTTCTTACATTATACGCAAAAATAAATTCAAAATGGATTAAAGACATAAATGGGAGGCCAGAAACCATAAAAATCCTATGAAAGAGCTCAGGCAGTAATTTCTCTGACATCAGTTGTAGAAACATCTTTCTAGATATGTCTCCTCAGGCAAAGGAAACAAAAGCAAAAATAAACTATTAGGACTACATCAAAACAAAAAGCTTATGCACAGCAAAGGAAAAAAATCAATAAAACTAAAAGGAATCTATGGACTGGCAGAAGATATTTGCAAATAACATATCTGATAAAGGGTTAGTATCCAAAATATAGAGAGAACCTATGCAATTCAACTCCAAAAGAAACACAATTAACCCAATTAAAAAATGGTCAGAAAACATGAGCAGACATCTCTCCAAAGAGGACATTCAGATGACCAACAGACATATGAAAAGATGCTCAACATCATTCATCATCAGTGAATTGCAAATCAAAACTACAATGATTTATCACCTCCCATCTGTCAGAATCACTAAAATCAAAAACACAAGAAACAAGTATGACAAGGATGTAGAGACAAAGGAACCCTTGTGCACTGCTGGTCTGAATGGAAACAGTGCAACCACTGTGGAAAATAGTATGGAAGTTCCACAAAAAATTAAAAGAGAATTACCATATAATCAGGAATTCCACTAGTGGATATTTGCCCAAATAATATGAAAACACCAATTCAAAAAGATATATGTACCCTTATGTTTACTGCAGCATTATTTACAATAGCTAAACTACGGAAGCAGCCCAAGTGACCATAGATATACAAATGGATAAAGAATACACACCCACACACACACACACATACACGCAGAAATATTAGCCACCAAAAAAAGAATGAAATCTTGCCATTTGCAACAACATGGATGGATCTAGAGAATATAATGCTATATGAAATCAGACAGAGAAAGAAAAATACCATATGTTTTCACTTATATGTGTAATTTAAGAAACAAAACAAATGAACAAAGGAAAGAGAGACAAATAAAAAAACAGACTATTAAATATAAAGAATAAACACCAGAGGGGAGGTGAGTGGGGTGTTGGGTGAAATAGGTGAAGGGGATGAAGAATACAATTATCTTAATGAGAACTGAGTGATATAGAGAATTGTTGAATCACTATACTGTACACTTGAAACTAATAACATTGTTAGCTATATCAGAATTAAAATTTTTTAATTAAAAAAATTTTTTAAATCAAGAAATAAGTGTTGGTAAAGATGAGAATAGGGAATCCTCATGCACTGTTGGGGGGAATGTGAATTGGTACAGCCTCTAGGGGGAACAGTATGGAGTTTCCTCAAAATATTAAAAACAGAACCACTATATGATCCAGTAATTCTACTTATGGGTATTTATCCAAAGAAAACACTAATTCAAAAATTTATATGCATCCCTATGTTCACTGTAGCATTATTTACAATAGCCAAGATATGGAGAAAAAAAAACCTAAGTATAAACTGATAGATGAATGGATAAAGGATTATACATACACACACACACACACACACACACACACACACACACACACACAGGAATACTACTCAGCTATAAAAAAAATGAAATCTTGCCATTTGAGACAACATCGATAGAACCTTAGGGTATTATGCTAAGTGAAGTAAGTCAGAGAAAGGCAAACACCATATGATTTCACTTAAATGTGGATGGAATCTATAAAAGAAAAACAAAACAAAACCAATGTTATAGATACAGAGAACAGATTATTGGTTGCTGAGGGGTGCAGGTTGGGGGGGTATATACAAAATAAGTTAAGGGGACCAAGAGGCACAAACTTCCAATTACAAAGTAAGTCATGAGGATGTAATGTACAGCATGGTGACTATACTGAATAATGCCATATTGCAAATTTGAAAGACTAAGAAAATAAATCTTAAAAATTCCTATCACAAAAAAATACAATGTTTTAACTTTGGTCACAGATGGTAACTAGGCTTATTGTGGTGATATTTTCCAATGTATGAAAGTGGTCCAATCATTATGTCATACACTGGAAACTAAGATGATGTTGTATGTGAAATATACTTCAAAAACAAAGAAAATATGAAACCCAAAATAAAAAGAACATACAGGTTGTATACAGCCTCACACTTATATATGAAAAAAAGCAAGTGTGAGATTTCCCAGTCTCTTGGATTAATTATTTATCATTTAAAAAACAAAATCACTCGTGAAAAAAATTATGCTACATTTGGTTAATTCTCAAAGAAAACATCACTACTTCGAAGAGTAAACTGTAAACCTTGTATTTTATATATTTCACATATTTTGGGTGAAACTAAAACAATTGCAATCATTTTTCTAACTTAAATAGTTTATACATAATATAGACACATATGAACACACACATGTGTGTATTTATTGTGATTCTGTATAGAGATATTTAGGAAGTATTAATGCTACCATTGATAAACTTACGAATCAACATGCAGAACCCTCTGGCCACTTCTTGAACATGCAGCTGCAGTGATGGATTCAGGCAAACCTATGAAAACACACACCTATATCACTTATAATGTAAAAATACATACATATATATATTCACTTATAACATAGCTTATAATACATGCTATATATTATACAAATAGTTCAACGCATGCCATCACTGCATAAAAGGAGTTTAACAAAAGAGGCTCATCCTTATATTCAAAATGATAAAGTTTATACTATTATACCATTGGATATTTGCTAAATGTATACTGCTTATACTAAGAATTTTATTATGTGGAAGAGATTTTTTTTTAAATCGAGTACTATACTGAAATTCTTTTTGTATGCAAATTTCCATAAATGAGCAATTGTCAAAATATTATTAATATAGCACTTTGTTATTAAAGGAGCTACGTTCCCACACTAGCTCCTCTCATTTTCTCAACCATACCGAGAAAGAAGCACCACTGGCATACACATTTTAGAAAGTAAATACTGAGGTGCAAATATGTTAACTTGTTTCCTAATGCTTTAACATTTTTTTCTATTGGTGAAGTTTGAAACCAAATCTAACTCCAAAGCCACAGTGCCTATGAGGGGGAATGGGATACATTTTTCAATTTAAGTAACAGGTTAACTAGTTTAAAAGGAGGCCATTTATTGAGACCTGAAACCATAAAACTCCTAGAAGAAAATATATGCAGTAATTTCTTTGACATTGGCATACCAGCATTTTTCTACATCTCCTAAATCAAGGGAAACTACCAAAACTACCAAAACTACATAAAACTAAAAAGCTCGTGCTCCGCAAAGGAAACTATCAACAAAACTAAAGTAACCTACTGAATGGGAAATGTTTGCAAATGACATATCCAATAAAGGGTTAATATCCAAAATATATAAATAATTTATACAATTAAACACCTATATAAATAAGTAATCCAGTTTAAAATGGACAAAGGACCTGAATAGATATTTTTCCAAAGAATACATACAGATGGCCCAAAAACACATGAAAAGATGCTCAACATCACTGATCATCAGGGAAATGCAAATCAAAACCACAATGAGATATCATCATATACTTGCCAGAATGGCCAAATACAAAAAGACAAGTAGTGAGGTGTTGAGGATATGGAGATAAAAGAACCACTGTGAACTGTTGGTGGGGATGCAAACTGGTGTGGCCAGTGCAAAACAGTATGGAAGTTCCTCAAAAAATTAAAATTAGAAATACCATATGATCCAGTAATTCCGGTATCAAGTATTTACCCAAAGAAAATGAAAACACTATTTCCAAAAGATATATGCACCACTATGTTTATTGCTGCATTGATTACAATAACCAAGATATGGAAGCAATCCAAGTGCTCACAGACAGATGAGGAAAAAGAATTTGTGTCATTGTGTGTGTGCATGTGTGTGTGTGTGTGTGTGTGTGTGTGTGTGTGTGTGTGTGTGATGGAATGTTAGCCATAAAAAAGGATGAGATCATGCCATTTGCGACAACACAGATGAACCTAGAGGGTATTATACTAAATTAAATCCATGAGACAGAGAAAGAAATACAATATGATCTAATTTATATGCAGAATCTAAAACACAAATGAATAAACAAACAAAAGCAGAATCAGACTTATAAATATAAAGAACAAAGTGATGGTTCCCAGAGGGGAGATGAGTGGGGGCACGGGCAAAATGTGTGAAAGGGAACAGAAGATACAGACTTCCAGTTATGAAATAAGTCACAGGAATAAAAGTACAGTGTAAAGAATGTAATCAATGGTATTTTAATAGCAATGCATGATGACAGATGGTAGTTGCATTTGTGGTAAGCATGGCATAATGTATAGAGAAGTTGAATCGCTACATTGTACAAATGAAAATAATAAAACACTGCATGTCAACTGTTGTCTAAATGAATGAATGATGAATAAGAAAATACTATTTTTTAATTTTTTAACGTTTATATTTATTTTTGAGAGAGAGACAGAATGTGAGCAGGGGAGGGGCAGACAGAGAGGGAGAAACAGAATCGGAAGCAGGCTCCAGGCTCCCAGCTGTCAGTATAGAGCCCGATGCAGGGCTCAAACCCACGAGCCATGAGATCATGACTGGAGCCAAAGTCGGACTCTCCACCGACTGAACCACCTAGGCACCCCCAGAAAATACTATTTTTGAAAAGAGACCATTTACAAGATACATTATCTCACTTTCTGGTTAATACAGCAGTTTGAAAACACCACTAGTGTTTTAGAATCAGAGTAAGCCACAATATAAAATTGGTTATCATGTAAGGAAATATATATTACTACCACAAGTACTAACAAAAAAAAATCACAAATTACCAAAGAATGATTTCATCACAAAACAATTTCAGATGTTCAGCTGGATAGACTAGTTAATACCCTACATTGTACATTCAAGACTGTTCCCCAGAAAACACCCCAAATACCCAAAGTGATCTCAAAAAAGAAAATCAAAGCAGGAAGCACCACAATCCCAGACTTCAAACTATACTACAAAGCTATAACTATCAAGACAGTATGGTACTGGCACAAGAACAGACACTCAGATCAATGCAACAGAATAGAGAACCCAGAAATGGACCCACAAACGTATGACCAACTAATCTTTGACAAAGCAGGAAAGAGTATCCAATGGAATAAGGAAAGTCTCTTCATCAAGTGGTCCTGGGAAACCTGGACAGTGACATGCATAAGAATGAACCTGAACCACTTTCTTACACCATACACGAAAATAAACTCAAAATGGATGAAAGACCTCAATGTAAGGCAGGAAGCCATCAAAATCCTCGAGCAGAAAGCAGGCAAAAACGTCTTTGATCTTGCCGGCAGCAACTTCTTACTCAACACGTCTCCGGAGGCAAGGGAAACAAAAGCAAAAATGAGCTACTGGGACCTCATCAAAATAAAAAGCTTCTACACAGCTAAGGAAACAATCAGCAAAATTAAAAGGCAAACGATGGAATGGGAGAAGATATTTGCAAATGACACATCAGATAAAGGGTTAGTATCCAAAATCTATAAAGAACTTATCAAGCTCAATACCCAAAAATCAAATAATCCAGTGAAGACATGGGCAAAAGACATGAATTGACATTTCCCCGAAGAAGACATCCAGATGGCCAACCGACACATGAAAAAATGC